CAAGAGGCATGGCCCCAAATGTCCATCATAGTCATCATCTTCTTTCATGTATTCCCTCTTCAGGGGTCTTCACAGTGAGTCATCCACCTCCATCTCACTCTGTCTTCATTACCAACTTCCTCCATGTCCTCTCTAACTGCATCCATAAATCTATTCTTTGTCTTTTTCCTAGAAGCTGCAGTTCTAACATCCTTCTACCAATATACCCACTGTCCCTCCTCTGGACATGTCCAAACCATCTCAGTCTGGCCTCTAACTTTATCTCCCAGTTGTTCAACCTGTGCTGTACCTCTGATGATCTCACTCCTGATCTTATCCATCCTTCTCACGCCTAAGGAGAACCTCAACATCTTCATTTCTGCCACTTCCAGTCTGTCTCCTGTCTTTTTCTCTCTGTCTCCAGACCTTACAATATAGCTGGTCTCACCAATGTCTTGTACACTTTTCCTTTGACCTTTGCTGACACCCTTTGGTCACAAATCACTCCTGAAACTTTTCTCCATCCACTCCATCCTGCCTGGACCCTCTTTTTCACCTCTTTACCACACTCCCCATTTTCCTGGACAGTGGACCCCAAGTAATTGAAGTCCTGCACCTTTGGGGCCTCTCTGAGGCATTTTAGGCCTCTGCTCCTTGTAGCCTCACTGTTCCACACTTGTACTCTGTCTTACTACAACGGAATTTCATTTCTCTTCTTCACCACACCGAAACTCCTAAAACACTGACATCAAACCACAACACACAATGCTGGAATCATTCATACTAACTGTTTGACACAACATTGACACATGGCTATGAAAAACTGTCAAAGTGCCATAATAACTTCTACACCACTTTATACCAAAACAGTGCCGTATGTTCTACAAGGGCTGCTTTTGGACACGGGGCAAGGAATGTGAGCCACAGATCACATACTAGCAAGACAGATGGAACTTACCATGATCTGAAAAAAATAAAAGCTTTAGGTCACTACCAGGCACAACAGTTGGTCAAATTCACCCACCCAGAGGTTCCCAACCCTAATCCTTGTGGCTCACTTAGATCTTTCCCTTCTTCAACACACCTGATTCAAATTATTGAGTATCCTACTCAGAATGCCATCAGGTTTAGCAGAAGCCTGCCAATGGCTCATTCATTTCAGTCAAGTGTGCTGAAGCAGCTAAAACATGCAGGGTTGAGGAGCTCTCTAAACTAGACCTTGTCCAAAAATCATTGCATGTCCCTACTGACTATGCTTCTTTTGGACCAGAGATGGGTAAACTCAACCAGAAGTTCCAAAGAACATACAGATTTTCACTGTGACGGACTTGCGACCTGTCCAGGGTGTACCCCGCCCCTCGCACAGTGATTGCTGGACACGGGCACCGGCGACCCCTGTGACCCAAAATGGAAGAAGCGGGTAAAAGATAATGGGTGGATACAGATTTTCAGCCATGTAACATTTTATAGTTTTTGCAGGAGAATGCCCAGCTCACTCCAACTCTCTGAGGAAGCACCAAAGATCCAAATGTACACGGGGCCCAACTGGAACAAGCTACTCCTTAAAAATGTCCTACAAATATGACAAAACAAACAATGAATAAAATAGTTATTGGATAGGCTTTGCAAGCCTTTAAGACAAGGAGACAAGGTTCAGGTCTTGATTGATAGACCCAGAAAAACGGGTACCTCTCCAAAACGAGGTCTACCAGGACTATGCTGCTTTAGTTCTTAAACACTAAGAAAGACAATAGTATCACATAGAACACATTATAACAACAAACTATTATACATAAATCTATAGCAACAGCCCAGAAAAACAAAAACCTTGTATAACCTTTGACCTTGATTTGAAACATTGACCATAGTGCGGGGTGATGAAAATATTACGCAACATACTGACTAGTGGTACAAATTCAAATTAAGTTTCATTAATGTTACAACCCAAACAAGCAAAGACCTCCTTTTAAGTTTAACCTTGATTTGTGACCTTGAAATAGAATCGGGGGGAGGAAAATAATGTTACATTGTATAGTGGTGGTACAAATTTATATAGCTAAAATAATGAACAAATGAGAAGTCATGGCTCTAACAAACAAAGACTTAGACAAAGACAACAATTGACCTTGATTTGTGACCGCAACTTTAGAGCTAGTGTGAGGAAAATATTATGCAATATGCCATCTAGTGGTGGTATAAAGTTGTATTGAGTTACATAAAATTATTTTGAGTGGGAGAGAAGTCCTGAAAAAATACCTTATTTTAACGTTGACCTTGATTTGTGACCTTGAATTTAAAGCTGGGGTGATGAAAAGAACATGCAATATGCTATCTACTGGTGGTACAAATTTGTATTGAGTTATGTTACATTATTTTGAGTGGGGCAGAAGTCCAGACAAAAATACCTTGTTTTAACTTTGGCCTTGATTTGTGACCTTGAAATAGAACCGGGGTGAGGAAAAGATTATGTGACACACTGTATAGCGGTGCTACAAATTTATATAGTTTTTTTAATTGGTCCGCAAATAAGAAGTTGTGGCCCCAACAAACAAAGACTTAGTATAACATTTGACCTTGATTTGTGACCTTGATTTTAGAGCTGGGGTGATGAATACGCAATATGCCATTTAGTGTGGTACAAACTTGTATTGAGTTACGTTAAATTATTTTGAGTCGGATATAAGTCCAGAAAAAATACCTTGTTTTAATTGTGACCTTGATTTGTAACCTTAACTTTGAAGCTGGGGTGGTGAAACGTATCCGCAACACTCCATCTAGTGATGATGCTTATGTGTATCAAGTTTCATTAAACTATCGAGTGGATCAGAAGTTATGACCCGGGGGGTTCAATTCCACCAGCAGTTACATGTTGCGATGTCCCTAGGCAAGACACTGAAACCCTTATCGCCTCCAATTTGTGTCCCATTGGTATAGGAATGTGATCTAAAGCACTAATTAATCTCTACAGATTCAGATTAGCTTTGTAGAGAAGTAGCTGTTTCTTTGAATATTGACTCGTGGTATGGGAACCTGCTAGCCAGAGACTGGAACAAGTTGTCCCGGATGGTCAAACAAAGTAGGAAACTCACTGGTCATCAACAAATGCAACCTACATACCTGCAGTCAGGCTCTAGGAAAAAAACAATACAGGTTTACAATGATCCGACCCATCCACTGCAACCATTATTCAGGTTGAAGACTGGTGGTTCCTCTGGTAAAGGAACATGGGTACAAAAAGTCATTTGTTCCGTCTACTGTGAGTGTCCTTAACAGGGTCCTATTTAAACGTAGCCTCACATGACAAACCATTGTCTGCCGAGATGTTTTTATGTTTTAATGTATTGTGTATTTTAGAATGTTTTTATTGGGTTAGTAAAGCTTCTTAAAGTTTTATGGCATTTTTAACGTGTTGTTTGAGCCAGAGGTCAAAGATAAATCTCCATCTCATGGAATGTTATGGACAATAAAGTTATATTTATTGACTGGATGATGTAGTAGAGTGCTGTGTGGATGTGTAAGAGGGCAGAGATCGTGTTGTAAAGTGCTTTGAGTATCTTGATTAGCTGGAAAGGCGTTATATACATACAGTCCATTTACCATTTATTATGGTAAAGAACAATGGGCATATAAAAGAGTTTACTTTAGGTGAAGGAAATGTGGTACAGTTATCAAATTCAATGTCTCCTGCATGACTGAGAACGAGCTCAAATACCACGTTCCATGTTAGCAAAGCTCTACCAGGTCTTATCGGCTACTATGTTTTAAATCCTATTTAACAGAGAGAAGCTTTTGTGTGTGTTTTGGTTCTGTGAAGTCCACTGTAGCACCTCTCACATGTGGAGTACCTCAGGGATATATACTTGGCCCCCTTCTGTTTTCCCTTTATTTACTACCTCTGGGATATATTCTCAGGAAACATGGTATTTCTTTTCATTTTTATGCTGATGACAGTAAAAATTTATGTTCCATTACAACAAGATAAACAGTAATCCGTGAACCAACTCCTGGAATGTATGGCGGAAGTCAGAGCATGGATGCCACAAAACTTTTCACATTTTAATGAGAAGAAAAACGAGGTTCTGTTGTTTAAGCACAGTGATGGTTCCAAAGTCCATGTTGATCTGGGTCCTTTCACAAAACATCTGACTGAGACAGCAACTAACCTGGGTGTGAGGCTGGACAATGATTTTAAACTGGATGCTCAGATTAAATCTGTGGTCAAGTCCAGCTTTTATCACCCGACACAACTGAGGTCAAACCATTCCTATCACATCATTTTGAGATTTTAATCCAGGCTTTCATCACAACTTGTCTGGACCATTGCAATTCACTTTATGTGGGTCTGAGCCAGTCACTCCTGACTCGACTTCATCTGGTCCAGAACGCTGCTGCTCGTCTTTTAACTGGTACCAGAAAACGAGAGCACATCACGCCCGTCTTAAAATCACTGGCTCCCAGTTCGCTTCCAGATTAATTTTAAGGTTCTTTTGTTTGTATTCAAATGTCTTCGTGGTCTCACAGTATCTGTCTGACCTTCTCCAGCCGTACATTCCCTCAGATCAGCTGATCAGCTGCTATTGGTCGTCCCAGAGTCCAACAGGAGGCTGAGAGGCGACCGAGCGTTCTCAGTCGCTGCCCCTGAACTGTGGAACAAGCTGCCTCTGACATCACTTCCTGTTTTCTCTTTGGCTTTTAATTTATTTGTTTGATTGTTTTTACCGTTTGCTGTTCTGATTTGGTAGTTCATGACTTTTATGATATCTGTTGTGTTTATAGTTTTTATGCTCGTATGTGTTAATGTACAGCACATGTTGTTTTAAAGTGCTTTATAAATAAAGTTGTATCATCGTATTGTATTGCTCTATCTGTCCCTGACAGATGTATTTGGAGACATTCAACATTTCCCCCCCTTTGATTTCCTGCATTTTAATTTGAGCGCTCGTTGATAAAGTTCTGCACAGTCATTTCTCTACACCGGTCTCTTGAGTTTATGCGTGTGCATTTTCGGTGCCAGTACTCACAGCTGGAGAACACGAGAGGACAGGAGTGCTCGTCCATCGGGAAATTATGGAGCTGCAGCTGGCACTCGGCGTTGATGGTCATTCTGAAGGAGAGGAGAGATGCACAGAAAGACAGAGACGTTCAAACCTTCCGTTCATTTGACCGTGAAGCACGCCGCGAGTGCACCGGGGTTCATTACCGCGTTTATCACCATGCGCTTTTTGTGCTCGAGCACACGAGGCACTGGATTGGAACCAGATGGTACGGGATCACACTCGATTGCACAGTTGATGTGTGAAATCCCTCAAAATGACGGAAGTGTTTCATCACCGGAGTGGATGTTTGTTTTTTTAACTCGGGTCAAGGTGCAAAGGAACATCTGCTTCTAAAGCAAGGGCACTTACCATCGAGCGTCTGGCAGGTCGGTACAAAACGTGTTCAGGAGACGCTCTAGTTTCCAAAAATCGCATAGAGGAAAATCTCTGTAGTAAATAATCATTTCCTCTCCGTGCTACTTCAACATCCCAAGATGGGTTTTTATGGGATACACTACGAATTATGAAAATGAGCTCATGAACGCCAAACTCTGCTCCGACTTGTTGCGCATCGTTGCGTCTTTGTCCGTCACACAATATCGAATTAATTGCCAGACTCGGAACACAAAGGAGGCGCCTCGGCGGCAGCAGGAGGAGGGCTGCCTCTCTCGCCTCGTTTGTAGGTGAGCAAATTGCAGATGATGTGTAATCTCAATCTGCAAACGTGCTCGGCCCGTGTTCTCGTCGACACGGACAATCTGAACGTGGGGGAGAGCGGAGCTGAATGAGACGCGGCTGAGACGACCACCGGCCTGAAGGATGTCCGGTAATCGAGACTTTTAATTAAACCATTACGTTAAAGTCATCAGAGAAGCACACGTGACCTGAAAGAAAGCCAAAGCGTGCAGCTCCGTTTGAATTTTAAACGTTTTACAAATCTCTCAACATGGAGTTGTCATGGGGAGTCTAGAACCCGTTTGGAACCCGTCTCAAACTCCACTAAAAATAAAAGTTTTGACGACCGAGGAAGACAAAATGGGACTGGTGGACAAAATGGGACTGGTGGACAACAGGAAAAAAGAACAAGAAACTGCGCACATTCAGTGTGAATGCTCGTTGACGAATGATTTTAGCTGATTTCAACTAAACTGCTCGCGGACATCCAAAGGTTATTGTCATTACGTAAGTTTGTTTTATGGTTTAAAATCTAATTTTCTTTAAAAATGAACCCTTCGATGGGCCGAACTGAGCTCATCCATGTGTCTGATTTGACCCCTGGACCACCAGTTGAGCCCCGAGCTAAAGCTTTGTTGACGTCTACCAAGAGCTGGAAAGCAGAAGGAAAAAACTGAATAACTTGAATAGTAACTTTAATGTATATAAAAAAAGAGGCGGGACCATAAAAAGGCTGAAATTAGACGGAAGAAGCTGAACAATTCAGTTCAGTTTATTTCTTCAGCTCCAAGTCACAACAGAAGTCGTCTCAGGAACTGAACAGAAACATTCAAATATAAAATAATAAATGAACATTATTTATCTGAGGAGCAGCTTCGAGTTTAACTCCATCACAGAACTCTCATCTTGAACAAGCATGAAGGCGACAGTGGAAAGAAAAACTCCCTCATGAGGAAGAAACCTTTAGTAGATCATGTAAAAGCTGAAATTAGTGGAAAGTAGCCAAAAAAAGTGACAAGAGCTGAAACGTAGAAGTGAAAAAAATTAGCAGAAACAAGGTAAAAGAAGCTGAAACGACAAGAAAAAAGCAAAAAAACTAAAATAATCAGAAACAAGCTAAAATAAGCTGATATGATCAGAAACAAGCTTAAAAAAAAGCTGAAATGACCAGAAACAAGCTAAAAAAAGCTGAAATGACCAGAAACAAGCTAAAAGAAGCTGATATGATCAGAAACAAGCTAAAAGAAGCTGAAATGATCAGAAACAAGCTAAAAGAAGCTGAAATTATCAAAAGCAACCTAAGATGAAATGATCAGAAACAAGCTAAAAGAAGCTGAAATGGCCAGAAACAAGCTAAAAGAAGCTGAAATGACCAGAAACAAGCTAAAAGAAGCTGAAATGATCAGAAACAAGCTAAAAGAAGCTGAAATGATCAAAAGCAACCTAAGATGAAATGATCAGAAACAAGCTAAAAGAAGCTGAAATGATCAGAAACAAGCTAAAAGAAGCTGAAATGATCAAAAGCAACCTAAGATGAAATGATCAGAAACAAGCTAAAAGAAGCTGAAATGATCAGGAACAAGCTAAAAGAAGCTGAAATGATCAGGAACAAGCTAAAAGAAGCTGATAATTAGCCCAAAAGAAAAAGTAGCTGAAAAGGCAAAAAGAAGCTTAAACTATTAGAAGGAAGTGGAAAGAGCTGAAATTAGTTCAATGGATGTGGAATTATTTAAAAAAAAAAAAAACTAAAATGAGCAGAAAACAGCTAAATAGTACTTGAAATTGCAGAAAAAAGCTGAAAGGAGCATAACAAGCTGAAATTAGTATAAAGAAGTTAATTAGGCTGAAAGTAGCAGAAATTACCACACTTACACCATCTGAAAACAGCTGAAATTAGCTGAAAATGCTAAAAAAGCTAGATGAAAAGGTAGAATAAGCTGAAATTTGCAGAAAAAAAGCAGAAAGAACAGATGTTTGCCCAATTAAGCTGAAAGAAGCAGCAGAAATGAGCAAAAGAAAGTAGAAATCAACTGACAAAAGCCGAAATGAGCAAAAACAAAACATCTGAAAAGCAGCTAAAAAAAAGTAGCATAAAGAAGTTTAAATTACCAGAAGGAAGTAGAGCGATCATGTTTTTGCTGAATTATGCTGAAAAAAGTTTAAATGAGTGCAAAAAATGTGGAATTAGCTGAAAAATCTAAAATTAGCAAACCAGCTAAATGGTAGCTGAACTAACAGAAATGGCTGAAACTAGCAGAACAATACTTAAAGGAGCATAAAGAAGTTAATTAAGCAGCAAGTAGCAGAAATTACCACCTTCTGAAAACAGCTGAAATAAGCTAAAAATGCTAAAAAGCTAGCTGAAAAGGTAGAACAAGCTTAAATTAGCAGAAGAAAGCAGAAAGAACAGATGTTTGCCCAATTAGGCTGAATGAAGCAGAAATGCAAACAAAAAAAGTAGAAATCCTCTGACAAAAGCTGAAATTAGCAACAAAAAAAATCAGCTGAAAAGTAGCTACCAAAGCAGAAAGAAGCTTAAATTACCTGAAGGAAGTGGAGAGAGCACAATTTTGCTGAATTACGCTGAAAAGCTGAAGTTGGTACAACAAATGTAGAATGAGATGAAAAAGCTAAAATTAGCACAACAGCTAAATAGTTGAAAAAGCTGAAACTTACAGAATTTAATTGAAATGAGCATAAGCTGAAATTAGCATAAAAATGTTAGAATAAGCACAAAAAAGTAGTAGCTAGCAGAAAGAATCTGAACGGAGCACAAAACAGCTGAAATTAGCTGAAAGTAGCTTAAAAAAGTTTAAATTTGCAGCAGGAAGTTGAAAGAAGCTGAAGCAGAACGAAATGTGAAAGGAGCAGTAAAAGGTTGTAAACACATCTAAAGATTTGAAGGATGGAAAATGAGCTCAATTTATTTTCTATGAGTGAAAAAAATGGCAGAAAAGGCTAAATATTTCAAAAAGCTAAAGTTGCACCAATGCCAAAAGTCAGAGCACCCTTCTCCTGAACGAGCTGAACGTCTTGATTTATGATTTGTTGAAATAGCACAAAAATTGTGGAACGAGAAAGACGCTGAATAACGTAGTTTAAAGAACCTGGAATAACAAATATAAACAGGATCACAATAGTGTGAATTAATAAGCGTTGGCACTGCATTCTTTGCAGGAAAATGCAGATGATCTCGTTTGGTTCTGTTTACATTCGGTGTGTGATGTTGCAGATAATTAGGTCGGAGAACGAGGGAAACAAAACAAGTTGCACTAAAGTCCTGGCTGAGCTGAAGGGAACAGCTGTGTTGATGATTACCCTCCGTCACTTTGGATGACCCCTTTCCTGTCTCACATAATCATCGGGTTCATTGTTCGTGCACTGAAGGGATTAGTGCACGTTTCAAGTCAGAGCTTTTAGGTCTTGACCCCGTTGATAACGAGCATATTTATAGCCACATAATCTGGCTCGTATTAACCTCTGCAACAGCCGTAATCATTCCCTTACAATTACAGGTTACGTCTTGGGAAGTGAATAGAAGATTTTGAGTGAGCCCTCCAATCTTTAGAAACAATAGTGTTTGATTTGAGTTAATATTTTCAGAGTAAAAGTTCAGAGGATCAAAGCAGGAAGCTTGAATTTTCATTCCCACCTGAACCGTGCTGACACAGCAGGCTCCTCCGAGGTGGATGATGTAACCAATCATGGTGGGGTTCGCTTTTTGGACAAGGTTTGGATACGTGCAGGCAAAACAAACAAACAAACAAAAAGCTCCTGTCCAAATCTGTGGATTCAGCCGCTTCAGATTCAGTCACAGATTAGTGGGTTAAAAGTCTACGTCACGAAACAGAAACCTGGGACATGTAGACAACCTGGATCGTTCCAAATGTTTAACAATGAAAATATTCACATTTATAGTAAATATAAGGTTTAATAATGGTTCAGTACTCATTGATTTTAACAAGCGGTACGCCGGCGCCCCTGTCACCGAGGGATTCGAATAGTGAACATTTGTATGGAAGTTCTTCTGGACTGGAACTGAACAGGGAACACAAGTAAACCTTAATGTTTTTAGGGCAAGAAATTCAAGTGGGTAGGAGTTGCACTGTGTAGAACAGACGTAGGTGTTCCTTTTTATCTTGCTTTTGACGGATCCTGGCAAACTGAGGAAGCCATTTTATTCACCACCAGGCGCAGTGGAGGAACCAGGGGGTGGCCGATGGTGGCCTTGGCAAATGTAGACAAATCTTGGACCGCGCCGATCGTTTAACGAAACTACTTTTAAGCAATACAAACCAGCCACTAGGGAGCAGAAGCCAGTGTATCTCTGGTCCTGGTCCTAAGCTCGGGCAACTGGTGAGGGTTGTGTCAGGAAGGGCATCAGATGTAAAACACTTTTGCCAAAAATATAATGCGAAGCAAAGCAAAACCATACCAGATCGGTCGAGGTTCTGGTTACCAACGACCGCCACCGGTGCAGCTGACAAACAGGGTGCCGGCGGAAATTGTGCTACTGTTAGTCAGAACACAGGACAGTTGGAGAGAAGATGGAAGTGGAGTGAGAACATAGGAAGAAGAGGAAGAACTAAAACAAGAAGAACAAGAACAAAGAGTAAGAAGAACAACAGGAAGAAGAAGACTTTTAAGCAATATAAAAGTAGAAAGTATAGTTTTCTCAAATGATGGGGTGGCTGGTTTACACATACAGTATATATATACTTTTCCCTCTGTACTCCGGTGAAGACAGACGTATTTCCTGGCGCTCCATACCACCCCCGCTTCCCTGCTTGCATTCTTTCATCCTGTGAACCCTTAAAAAGCCTCTTTTTTTCTGTATACCTCTTTATTGGAAGGATCAGCTGGTCTCTCAACAAAATCGATCAACTTCTCTCGACAGGAGTCAGGGTAAGGAGGACCCTCTTACCTCGACGGAAACAAATTGGATTCATGATGACAACTAGATTCTACTGTTTGGGTTGGTGAAATCTTGGATTGTCTACAAATTCGTGTGGATGTGTTGAAGCTCGACAGCGCTCAGACTGAATTTGTGGAGCTGCAGCAGGGAGCTGGAGCAGCTGTTATTAGGACTATGAACTCACTGGCAGCACTCATGAACGGTGGGAATAATCTTGGAGAAGCTGTGAGCTCGACTTTTGGAGTAAAGGATCAATTCGGCTGTTTTGGAGTTTCCATCAGAGGAATGTATACCAGCGAGACTTTAAAAAAGAGAGAAACAATTCACGAGTTCTGCCTGACCCAAACTGTGGCCTTGACGCCGGACTTATCTCAACTCCTCCTGGAATGTTTTGAAAACAACAAAAATGCTTTGACTGTTTCCTCACCCCTCCCTTTCCCAAGACCGTAGACATGTGACAGAACCTCAGCCGAGCTGATGATGAATGAACGTCACCTCTTATCTGGACAATGGCCGAGAGGGGGGGCTCTGGACTATGCTACGACTTTCCCTTAAAAATTCACTGTTTTCACCGCCTATATGTAAATGTATAACGTCTATTTATGTTGCTTTGCTGTGGTAGGTTTTTTTGATGCCTCAAATCGTGTCCCGTCTAGGACACTGCGTGAGAGATCTTTTTTTTCTACCGTCTCTCCTCGTGTTTTCTTTACTTTTCTAACCACTGTTTTTGTTTGTCCAAACAGGTCTCACTTGAAAATGAGTCTTCGAGGCTCAATGTAATTTATCAGTTTAAATAAAGGTTGAATGAATTAATATGGCATTAGCCATCTTGGATTTTAACGTGGCAACGCATGGCAACAATAGGGACTTTTCTTACAATAAAATGCAGCCACACACCAAAATGGAAGTCAGTACCTCACTTATTTTTCAGGTGACCCAGCTCACAAGATTAAAGGACGGACAAAAGGTATTTCCAATTCCCCACTTTGCTCTTCGACGGGGAACAAAAAGTTAATCCGCTGTAGAGGCACCTCCAATGACGACTTTTGGAAAAACATTGTGTTAAAACAGACACAGGAGAAAAATCCCAGCAAAGATGAGTGTGTCTTTTCCAGAAGGAACCGTGCTGTATGGCTCAGCGGAGGAAGCGACCTGGTCAAGAGGGGATTCCCGGTGACGGTCTTCAAACGCCTGGAGAACTTAATGGAACAAATCCAACAACTAATGTGGCACACAGAGGAAGACCAGGGACCGGGGGAGTGGAGGCCGGACCCGGGACTACAAGGAGACTCCAAGGGTTGAGATGGCGTGATCAGAAATGACTACAGGACACTGAGAAAGTAAAAAAGATTAGCGGTGAGTGATTTCCCTTCTGTTTGAGACTTCCTCAAAGAAATGTGAACTAATAAGAGATCCCGTTAGAACAGAAACAAGAAGTCAGCGGCAATAAAGATCATGAAAATTTGTCTGGTATTTTTCCATGTTGCCATTAAAACGGACACTGGCCTAACGGCAAATTAAGGTCCTCTCCCACCACCAGAAGACAGTGGCCCCCCCGTGAAAGGGGCACACCTAGGGTCATACTGGAAATCTCGCCGTTCAAGAAAGAAAAATTCAAACATTAAACTTCACTTGATGACAAACGTTCTGTATTTGCTGCTGCTCTCATCTGCTGTAAATCCATGTGGATTAAGCTGACGGGCATAGATGCGACTTTTAAATGATTGATCACCGTCTCTTTAATAAATTGATGAAGCCATTAATATTGGAGGCGTTAAATCTGTGAAGGGCGTCACGTCATCCATGAATACCCAAACAGGCAGAGGTCGGATTAATTTTAATCTGCTGAGAGTGAGATTTTTACGCTACTTGCAATTGAAGGTGTGGGAAATTTCTGGAATAGCCATCTAGCCTGAATATTAAAAATCATTGGACACGTTGTAAAACTTTAATTTAACTGTTGGATTTTTAAGTTTCTATGCTTTGATGATAACTTGTTTCATCTTTGGGTGAACCGTGACTATAAGAGCAAGGCATTCAGTTTGTATGTAATACTGCAGCAACCTTATAGATGCTATTGTCTAACTCAGCTAAGTCTCTGTCCGTTTGTGTCTCTTTTTGTCTCTTCATCAAGTACAACGTCTGACTCATGGTGTCTTCTCTGTTAGTCACCAACAACAACCTGAACATAAACACCAACTCAACAGTAGAACAACCGGCAGCGACCCATCACATAACCTGAAAAAAAGTCAACCTATGTCTGTTCCAAGACTACCCAGCAGCCCCTGCGGCTCAGCCACCCACTTGTGTTCAAGTACAAGATGTAATTTCAATAATTCACGCTGAAATTTAACAGCAACCCACAGAAATGTCATCACGTGATAAAATACAACTGTAACACTGAAACTTATCAATGTAGATTTGGTATTTAACCTTAAATTGTTAGCGCAAAATACAAATTCAGTGTGGATTTTTTTAATTTAAAGAATGCGATTAAATGCATAAAAACATCTCCTGAAGGCTCAGAGCCCCAAATTTTGGCTCCGCCCACTCTACATCAACATTATGATTCGTCAATTTTCCTGTCAGTTATAATACTATACAATTATATAATTATATAATTATATTATATATATATATATATATATATATATAAATATATATATACACACACACACGTGTGTGGCATCTGCAGTGACGTGGACGCTGTACTGGTCTGTCGTGGTGAAGAGGGAGCTGAGTCAAAAGTTAAAGCTCTCAATTTACCGATCGATCTACGTTCCTACCCTCATCTATGGTCACGAGCTTTGGGTTGTGACCGAAAGAACAAGATCAAGGATACAGGTGGTCGAAATGAGTTTTCTCCGCAGGGTGTCTGGGCTCTTCTGAGAGATAAGGTGAGAAGCTCAGTCATCCAGCTGAGGGACTCCGAGTAGAGACGCTACTTCTCCATGTCGAGAGGAGCGAGTTGAGGTGGCTCGGGCATCTGGTTAGGATGCCTCCTGAACGCCTCCCTGGTGAGGTGTTCCGGACATGTCCCACTAGGAGGAGACCCAAAGGAAGACCCAGGACACGCTGGAGGGACTACGTTTCTCGGCTGGCCTGGGAACACCTTGGGATTCCCCCAAAGGAGCTGGCCCAAGTGGCTGGGGAGAGGGAAGTCTGGGCCTCCTTACTTAGGCTGCTTACTCCCGTGACCCGACCCCGGATAAACGGAAGAAAATGAATGGATGGATGGATGGATGATGTGTTGTCATCACTGTATGTTTCTATACAATGGTAAAATTAGTTCTCTGCATTTAACCCATCACACCTGAGGTACACCCAGGTGGAGCAGTAGGCAGCTATGCAAGCACCCGGGGACCAATTAGGGATTAGGTTTCTTGCTCAGAGACAGCACGACATGTGGGCATGGCAGGAGTCATACCGCAACTTTCTTGTCCCAAGTCGGCTGCCCTGCCTTCACCATCTCGGCCCCCTATAAATTAATTAAACTTATCCTGGAGAGACTTAGTGAGCTGAGTCTACTCTCCTGACAGTGAAGTCCAAACTAATGAGATGGGTTACCACAACAAAATCCAAGATGGCCACTATCATTTATATGAAAACTTGCCACACTGTTTATTTAAGGAAACTATGCTTTCTAGTTTATATATTGCTTAAAAGTATTGGGGTTTTTTTTCAAATGACTGGGATGTTCAAAATATAATATATGGTGACCAAGGCCACCATTGTCCACCCCTTGGCTCCACCAAAAGGGGGGGACAAAAACAAAACGTACCTCTGTTTTTCTCCACAGTGCAACTCCTACCAACTTGAACATCTTTCACCAAAAATATTTAGGTTAACGTGCATTCCCTGTTCAATTCAAGTCAAAAACACTCGTATAAACATTCACCGTTCAAATCCCTCAGCGACGAGGAACATGGGCGTACCGCTCGTTGAACGCGTCTTACCTTAGCGTGTAGAGTATTTTCCCGTTGTTCCAGATGCGAAGCAGCTGATTGGGCGTCGTTATCCAGTGCGAGTCGGCGTTCTTGGAATTCCGAAAGATGGTGTCCGGCAGCCAAATCAGGCCCACCATGTTGCTGGTTGAACAAGAGGTAGATAGGAAAAAAATATATAATAACAATAAGAGCGAAAGGTGAGTTATCATTGCCTCCGACTTCTCTGAAATGCATGTCTGTTCTCATTTCCCAAGAAGATACTAAAATACCCAGGGGACCCTGGGGAAAACAAAGCACATCAATCAATGTGTTCCGTTAATTATAAGCCTCTTCTTTAGATAGAGGGAAGAATACGTCTCTCAAATGAGATATTCATGGTGAGAACGACCAGAAACAATAGTAGCTACAGCGCAACGGTGCACTCATCGAGTCCTGGGGTTGCAGTTCATTTAAAAGCACATTATAAGACACTGTAACCATCAATACGTATTGACGAAGCCAGAGAGCTCATATGGTTGGGTCACAACTAAAGCCCTTGGTGCATTTGCAGTGAATCCTCAATAAATGCACTCTACCTGTTGAGGGTTAGAATCCGCATGCTGCTGCTGTTGTACCGCAAACGGGTGTCCACCCAAGTCTGGGCGAAGATGATATCAATCTGGTACTCCTGGGGAGAGAAAAGGAGAGTCAATACACTGATCCGACAAGGCTTTCTAGTGAGCTACACGAGCTGGGAAAAGGTTTTCGATCTGAAGAAGTCTGTGCGGATGTGTCCACATCAAAGAAAATGCTAAAGCAGTGCAGCACTCACCGGGAGGGCATCGTCTGCTTTTGATATAGAAATGAAATTACAGCAAACTATTTACTTCAGCATCTTTCTCTCACCTCAGAAAGGACCTCTGTTCTAATCGTGAGATATTTTACTGTGAGAACGTCGAGTCAAGGCGTTCTCATTTAGCAGACAGTCGAGTTTACTTCTTGAGGCCAAATAGAGTTTTTTTTCCTCCTAAACATGCAGTAATTAAAATCTCAGAGTGAATATAAAAGCACTTTTTTAAATTAAGAAATAAAAAACAATACAAAAGATGATTCTTTTTTTTTTTCCAGGAATGTTGGACAGCATTTATATAAAAAAAAAGTTAACTTTTTGAAAAATTTTCTTTATTCAGGAGCCCAATACATTGATCATGATCTACCGGTTGATTGCAAAAGTATTATGGGTAGATGGCATGGCATTTAAAAAAAGGGATGGATGGATGTACGGACGGACGGAGATATAGATATACAGATATATATACATAGAGATAGAGAGATAGATAGATAGAGCTCCATCCATCCTTCCATCCTTCCATCCATCCATCCATCCATCCATCCATGAGGTGAAGAAGACAGTCCAGGCAGGATGGAGTGGATGGAGAAAAGTTTCAGGAGTTATTTTTGACAAAAGAGTGTCAGCAAAGGTCAAAGGAAATTTTACAGAACAGTGGTGAGACCTACTATGTTGTATGGTCTGGAGACAGAGACATGGACAAAAGACAGGAGACAGAACTGGAAGTGGCAGAAATGAAGATGTTGAGGTTCTCCTTAGGAGTGACAAGGATGGAGAAGATTAAGAATGAGATCATCAGAGGTACAGCACACTGGGAGATAAAGTTGGAGAGGACACACTGAGAAGGTTTGGAGGGACAGTGGTTTGGACATGTCCAGAGGAGGGACAGTGGGTATATTGGCAGAAGGATGTTAGAAATGCAGCTGCCAGTAAAAAGACAAAGAGGAGATACATGGATGCAGTTAGAGAGGACATGGAGGTAGTTGGAGTGAGGACAGAGTGAGATGGAGAAAGATGACTCACTGTGGAGACCCCTGAAGAGGGAAAAGCCAGAAGAAGAAGCAGCCTATGATCCATCCTCACTATGAAATGTGTCACTTGACTGACAGACAGGGCGGCCGGTGTGAGGTCTCGTTTACACAACAAGAAACGTTCATTTACAGGCAACAGCCTCATCCTCTCTGAAACCGAAGGTTTCTGAGTGCAGGTCTCAGAGTGGAATTTGCTCATAGTTTTGTTTATTACCTCCAATCAATACTGAAAAAACACCAACGTTTCCAGAGGCTGTTCTCGTGTAAATGGGGCCTTATAGCAGGCAGCTCACTTGGACTTGGTCATTTTGAAAGGAGCTCCATGATGAACACGTATGGGCGCCTCTGTTCTACCCCATACAAAAAACAACCACGACGAAACAAGCGTTTGACTCGTTAGAGGGAGCTTTTTCTCATCAGTTATACCTCAGAGTGCAACATCTTATTGCTGCAGGAAAACACAAGACCTTGGAAGAACTTCTAGTATATTCATTATTCATGTTGCATGTTAAAAATGTATCAACTACAGTATATATTATTTTTGGAAAAAAGCATATGGCAGGGTGCCGAGGGAGAAGCTGTGGAGATGTGAGGGAATGCTAGACTGGTACATCTACAGGAGCATCCCAAAGAATTAGAATATGGTGAAAAAGTCTTAAATGTATTTGGTCAGTTATTTCAGAAAGTGCAACTCATCTGGATTCATCACACAGAGTGAACTATTTCAAACCTTTATTTCTTGTCATTTTGGTGATTTGGGCTTGCAGACGGTGAAAAACCAAAGTCTGTTTCTCAGAAAATTTGAATTTTCCACAACCAACTTTTGGTACAGTGTGGTCAGTGTGAGCAGGAGCCGAGATCTCCATGAAGCTCGTCAGCAGAAAGAAGCATGAAGAGCTCTAAAATGTCCTGCTCCATGCTACATTGACTGTGGACTTCAGAAACCACAGAGGACCAACACCAGAACAGGACATGGACTCAACCCACTGTGGAAACTTCTCTCTTGACTTGAAGCAACATGGATTCTGGACATCTCCACTCTGCCTCCAGACTCTGGGACCTTGATTTGCAAAAGACATGAAAATTTATTTTCATGTGAAAAGAGGACACTGGACCACTGAGAGACAGTCCCCGTCTTTGTCTCCTCAGCAGGTAAGACGCTTCTGATGCGGTCTCTGGTTCAGGAGTGGCTGGACTTGAGGAATGAGACACTTATAGCTCATGTCCAGGAGGTAATCAGCTGATCAGGATGAGACACCAGGAGTTTAAAATATTGAACCTCCACAATATTCTAATTGTCCAAGACACTGAATTTTGGTTTTTCCTCATCTGGAAGTCATAATAATCATAAGAAACAAGAAATAAACGCTTGAAAAACGTTCGTCTGTAATGAATCTATACGAGTTTCACTTTCTGAAGTGACTGACAAGCAAATATAACTTTCTCATGATATATTATTTTTTTAGATGTACCTGTACAGTATATGACAGCAGGACATATTGGTACAGGACATGAAGACAGCAGGACATGCATGAGGACAGTGGGGCATGTATGAAGACAGGGAGACATGTATGAGGACAGTAGGACATGTATGAGGACATCAGGACATGTACAAAGAGAGCAGGACATGTACAAAGAGAGCAGGACATGTATGAGGACAGTGGGACGTGTATGAGAACAGCAAGACATGTTAGACTGGTACAGGACATAAAGACAGCAGGACAAGTATGAGGACAATAGGACATGTTAGACTGGTACAGGATATGTATGAGGACAGCAGGACATGTATGAAGACAGCGGGACATGTATGAGGACAGCAGGACATGTATGAGGACAGCAGGACAGTGGTGAGATCCACTGCAGGAATGACGGATAGCTTCAAGGTGGAGGTGGGAGTGCATCAAGGATCCGCTCTGAGCCCCTTCTTGTTTGCTCCGGTGATGGACTGACTAACAGATGAGGTCAGGCAGGAATCACTGTGAACTATGATGTTTGCGGATGACATTGTGATCTGTGGTGAGAACAGGGAACAGGCGGAAGAGAACTTGGAGAGGTGGAGGTATGCACTTGAAAGAAGAGGAATGAAAGTCAGCCGTAGTAAGACAGGGTACATGTGTGTGAATGAGAGGGAGGCCAGTGGGACATAATTTTTCAAGGGTGGTAATTTCTCACCCCCCCCCCCCCCCACCCCCCAACCCCAGGCCCACCACTCGGTGTCACCCTGGACAGTAAACCATTTGAGGCCAAGCTGTTTTCTGAATGGTGTAATTGCCAATAAAAGTTTTTTTTTTTTTTTTTACATTTGTGTGTTTGTATGAGATCTCAGACATACATATACTAGTATTTAAAAATGGCTTCTACGGCTTCTACAAGCCTTTTAGCTTTCTAACTGTGGTAATGTGGCCAAAAAATATCCAAGAACACTAATTGTTTGCTCACATGGGAAAAAATAAATAATTCCTCATAAAACCAATAAAATCTAATATTTCAGTACATGTCTTGGCCACATGTGCAGTTAGATTATATTCCTTATTGTGGCTACATTTAAACAGAAAAAACAGCTGAAAAAAAATGTTTTTCTTGACTGGGTTCAACCTTTAAGTTCAACCAAATTTATTCAGAACTGTCCACAACACACTGAAATTAATGAATATTGCTGCAGTAAAATTATACAGCCAACAAATATTGTCTTAGGAGCAATATTTATGCTAAACTCTTAGCAGATACTGAACAAAAACAGCAAGAAAATCCCATTTCAGTCCCTCACAGATGGCATATTAATAACTAATGGTAACTGCAATGCTCATGTATCATTTCATAACCCGCGGACGCTTCGGGTCCATTTTATTTTCCAGTTGGGTAGACTTGTCATTGTCACTGTCCTCACATCGTTTGGAAAGGAAACAAACTAGGGGCAAAAATGTGCTCCCTGTCCTTGTCAGTAACTAAAAAAAAATGAGGAAAAGAAATAATTTTTAAGTAAAGAAACAGAAATCCTGCTGGATCGAGCAGGAAACGCCAATCAGGCGTTTGAACTCAGCTGCTCACCACCTCGTTGGTCTCATCGCGGGCAGCGCATCAGCTCCTTTATAGATTGTAAAGAGGGCGCACGTTCAAGCTGTAAGGTCAGACCGCAAGAACTGCTCACAACTCAGCTGCTGACATCAAACCGCCGCTCCACAGTCTATTAAGTGGAACTGTGTCCAGGTCATCCTAGTTTTCTAATTCCCCCTTTTCGCTCCACGACGGGCGATAAAAGGGGGCCAAAAAAAAAAAAAGAAGAGAAAAAACAGTTTGTCACCAATGATACGCGTTTCAAGGTCTTATGTTTTTCGCAAAGATATTAGTTCATCTGCTGCTAGAATCCCTGGTGTTAATGTGACGCGTTTATGGGATAACGATAAGCAGATACCGTTCTGTTGATGGCGTGCTCGTGGTTCATCGTATGCAGCCACAGAAAACCCAGCGAGTGTTCTGCCAAGTAAGACGAACTCTCATGGAAGTCCCCAAATGGGGTTTTCTGCTCCAGCTCGGTCATTTTTGGGAAGTACACGACAAGGCACTGAAGCGAGTTCATTATTATTCATGAACATAATGCACAACAATGTAGAGGATAGTTGAAGAATATTCGACTTAAATGAATTATGAACGCTTCCGCTCTCTCCAGGAGACGCTCTTGGCTACAGCAAGTATGAACTATGGGTCAGTGGAATAACAATTATCCCCAAATTTAGGTATATTTTACACGACAGCTCAAAAGAAACCCCAAAATTATCAATAATGGACTAAGGTCTCATCTACACTACA